TATTAGTAGTTAGTACTTATTATTAGTTTTAATTTAACTTAATTTACTTTTACTAAACTATTTAGTATAGTATACTTACTATATAGTAAATAATAATTATTCTATATATATATATATATATATATATATATATATATATACATTTTATATAATTGATCAGTTATTTGTTAAATGTTGATTATTATTACACCCTTTACAATAGATGGAGGTAGGGGGGTGGTATACTTTCACAGCAAGTTGCAGCCAAAACAAACATGAATACGTTTTGCATAATTCACATGTGCTATAAAGCAAGATATTCAACTTATGTCTGATTAAGTTTCATTGAAAGAAAGCTTGCTAATAATACAAGTGGTTAAGTTGAAATTCAAATAAGATTGTAAGACTGATTTTACATTTTAACCAAAATTCTATTAAATATTATAATCATTGTATAGTGCAGTCACTATGATGTGTAGATTTAAAAAAAAACTATAAGATGCCAATTCAGAAATAAAAAAAAGCAGGAATTGAAACATGGTTTTTATACTGAATAACAAATATTTGATACTTAAGTATCTTAATACCTCTTCGTTTAATGTTTTTGTGAAAATAACTTGAACAGTATCAAGAGTAGTCTTATATTATTTCATTAAGCAGAAGGTGTAAAGTCACATCAAATTACACTTACAATATTATTTACTCATTAGTACTTTATCACTATACATATAATCAAGTTAAAATGCTTTAAGACCTTACCTTCAAGGCTACCAAAAGAGTTACTGTTTCAACAGAATAGTAACCTCTGTCAACATAATCTCCCATAAAAAGATAATTTGTATCAGGAGATTTTCCACCTATACGAAAAAGCTCCATGAGGTCATGAAACTGGCCATGGACATCTCCACACACAGTAACTGGACACTTCACTTCCTGGACATTAGATTCTTTAGCCAGTATCTCCTTTGCCTAAAAAGGAAAAACATGAAAATATTAATCAGAAAAGTAAGATAATTGTACAATAAAACAGACCAGTAAATATGATTCATTTAAAAATCATACAAATAATCAACATTTTATAAAATAGTCTCAATTCTGTTAGTTTTTTTGCATCACGGCAAAACATTTAGCCTAAGGCACCGAGGTTTTTGAAATTCACATCTAAGTCCTTCCATTTCTCCACAATATCTACAGTTACATGTTCATGATTTCTTATCACAGAAGATGCAAGTTAATATTTCCATATTCTAAGTGAAATACTTTACACTTATCAACTCGGATATATTTTACAAATTCAATCATCTTTCAGACACTAAGAAATATTCTTACAGTATACTTAAAAAATATAAGTAGTAACTGTAACTTCACTTGAAGTTGAACATTACTATTACCTTTTCACACAGTGTTTTCACATGGTTTTCTGAAAGTTGATTGCACTCGTTGAGTTGTTCTATCCATGCATCCAGTTCTTTTAATAATGTTCTTTCTTCCATTATTACCTCAAAGTATTAATCTCAAAAAAAAAAGGTGTCAACAAAATTTAATACCAATTAAAGCCTAATTATGTAACAACAAATTAAAAATACAACTAAGATATTCCAATTTGAAATTCAGTAGGCTTCACTTAGTTCCATTATCAATTGTATTTTGTATATTTACTAAAAGTAGCACCAGTTAGTAAGTTAGCTCTGTTTAGGACAATGATACCATTACCTTTGTCAGGATGACAAATTACAATGATGATATTTTTTACCACGTCAGAGAGTGCAGCAAACTTATCTTCACTGAGAGATGATGGTGCTTTATACCTCAAAAACAGAATCAGACTGCTCTTTGGTAAAGACAGGTAAATATGTTAGCTTATAGAACTTCAAAGGTATCTTCATCAAAGAGCATACTGATACTGTCTTACATTTCTTTAAACTTAAAGCCAGATTCAAAAATATGTCTTTATCTTTTACTATTAGTATTAGACCTATACATCTAACAAAGCACCATCACCTCTCAATCAGGATTTGAAGTCTCTGATTTGGCAAAAAACAACAGTGTTATAATTTCTCATCCTTACAAAGTTAATGGTTTCATCATCTTAAACTTAGTAACTTTACTGTTAAGCTTTTATCTGACAATTAAACACTCTCAAACTAAGGTACAATTCTGTGCTTACAATGATTTATAATTAATATTAAACAGTGTAAATACTTGTCCAAGTATTAAGCTAGGTACTCTCTTTTTTACAATATAATTCTTGCTTACACTATAACGGTGTGTTATTGTAAAAATAAATAAAAGAGTACCACTACCAGTTGAATACAATTAGGCTGTGTAAAGGATAATATTATTATTATTAATAGTAATACTAATAGTAACACTACAGTGCTAGCTCCAATTTACTTAGGCCTAACAAGGGGTATGTAAAACAAAACTATAAGCCTTACACAACTAGCTCATATATTTGTTAGTTTGATTCGGATATTCAAGCAAAGCTATACGCAACTTACAAGTACTATCTGCAATATCCGTCCCTACTTTTGAACTGATAGACTAAAGAACATGTAACTATTTCAGTACTTGACTAGTAATCAACACCCACGGACAGCTCTTGGGCTTATCTCATCGAATACCGTGATTTGATCGTCACTCTTATAACACGCCCAAAAATGTGAAGTCCGATTTATTATTTTTTGTATTAACGGGACGCGAACAACCAACCCTTAGAATTAGATACACAGCGCGCGGAATACTAAACTCAAGGTAACGAGTTCCACACAAACTCTTAAATATAAAATCGGTATAACTCAGGCACACTAATTTTTATATTTGTTTTCTCCTTTGTAACGTTATTACTATTACGTTATTTAACGATAATTGATAACCTTGTGACTCAACCTTTCATTAGTTACTCAATACTCTTCTTACCAATAGACGGTACTGTTGTTGTACTCCTAATAGTTCAACCTAAAATAATATGGTTGCCAACCCCCAACGGATATTTTATTAGTTATAAATAAAATATATTTTAGCTCTGGAATTTGATTATAATAAATCCCGTTTGGACGCTTTAGAGCAAAAAACAAAAAAATGAAATATAATACGAAAATGGTTGTTTTATAATGTGTGTGTGTATATATATATATGTATATTGCATTATTATATGTGATTTATTTATTACTTTAAATGTGATCAAGATTTAATTGATTTTAAATAGAGAAGAACTACAGATATGCAAATCTTTATTGTTTATGTAAAATGAGAAGTTTTGAAAGAATCATCGGAACGAAGTTACGGAAAATCAATTAACAAACGGAGACGTAACAACATTATATGCAACACGTTTACAATAAAATTTAAATCTCTGATATTGCCATCAATTTGCTGTTAGTACTTAGTAAACTCGAAATATAATTATTGAAACATAATAACAAAAAATGAAAACAAAACCATTTAACTAAAACAAATGAGACTCCTGAAGATATAACCTTAAGGCTACCTCTGCAGCAAGCTATTTCCTTCCGTAGTTATTTTAATAAAGAAGAATGAAATTAAAATATTGGTAAGAACTGTAGAACCAGGAAAGTGAAAAAAACGTCAATACCAAAATTTTCTCGCTGGGAAACGCTGTTTTAGCGAAACGTTGAGTGTCTAATTAAAGAAAAATAACAAATTTAATGTTATAAAGTCGTTTATTTCTAGTATTAAAATGTCTTCTATACACTAATATGCAGTATAGAAATTAAACAAATAAATTCAACACGTTCAAAAGGTACAATATTTATTACTACTTTAAAGGGGTTTGCTGAGAAAACTGCTATTACTCAAGACAAGGGGTTCGCGAAAAGAAAAACATTGGGAACCGCTGCACTAAAACACAAACTATAACTGACAGTAAGAAGGTTGTAGCGTCAGTTATGGCTAAAGGAAACGTTGTGTCCAATTAAAGAAAAATAACAAATATGATGTTATAAGGTCGTTTATTTCTAGTATTGAAATAAACATTTACTATCACCAACATAAAATAAAAGAAATGACGTATTTAAAGATGACTAAGTACTTACGGTAAGAGTATTATTTGAGGCTAATAACATGAGTGGAGAATTAATAAATACGCAATGAAATGGCAAACTTCACGTTTTATTCAGTTTTTCCAAACTTTTAACTACTTTTCCATAGCCATTGTCAAGCAAGAGTAGTTATAAGTTTAAATGATCTTATAATAATATAAATTCGAGCACTGAATGCGATTCATCAGTATCTAGCTCTTTGCATTGTCTTTTAGAATAACTGCTTTTGTATAGCAGAAGATGGGTAGTACCCTAAAAAATGTCATGGTTACATTTCCATACACTTGTCGCTTCAGCTGATTTTTTCTAGGTTTCAGTATCGGACATCATACTCGGGTAGTCATAGATATACCTGTTTTTCCAACATAGCTCTCTTACATACATTCCCTTTCTATGTTCTTTACATTTCCTTTTCTTTCAAAGAAAGGATTGGATCTCTTTTCGTTGGTCATCGTGCTTCGCAATATTATTATTTTTCGGGATCTCACCTTATATCGGTACTTGCCAATTTTTTTTTCTTAGATTTTACTCGTGCTTGGAATCTATGAAAAAGAGAAGAATGTAGACGGTGAATTTGAGTCATTCCTTTTTTTTTTTTTTCTTTTTTGCTACTGTATCATTCAGTTTGGAATAACATATTAAAAATAACGTTTTAGAGAACCTTTTGTCTCTTGTCGTTCAGCCCAACTGATGATTCTACTATTAAATGAAAGGCCTGTTGGACAGTGACTGGTAGGAGACAAAATATATATTTACGTACCTTTGATATTAAATCTGAAACGTACAATCTAAAAAGAATGTGGGGGAAAAAAACATCTGCAGTTACTGTGATTTTTATCAGAAATGTTTTTGTGCTGGATTCTGCGCAAAGCTACTCGAAGACTATCCACCTCAGTCGTCCCAAATTTGAAGTAATAGCCAAGAGGGAGAGATGCTAGTCATCACTAATTACTTCAACTTTTGAGTTTCTTTTATCAGACCGAATAGTGAGATGTCACGTCATTGTTTTTGTAAAAATATAGTTATTATACAAAATTTCGGGCTAATATCCTTCTTCATGCAAATACTACCCCAAAACTTTGTATTAGATCGTCAATAAAATAATGTCGCTTCTTCTTAGATGAGAAAACCCGAACAATTTATATATCA